TTGGAGGATGACCAAGAAAGATGTTAAAGGTGAGAAAATTGTGGCACATTTTCTGACATTCATTGGGAGAGAAGCGTACAGCTTATTAAAAACTTTGGCATATCCAGAAAAACTTATCTCACTCCCTCATGCAACTCTTAAAGAGCTATTGTTAAGTCATGTAAAATGCACCAGTTTTGAATGCCGTGAAAGGGCGAAGTTTCATAAGATGGTTCGTCAAAATGACCAAAAGGTTCGGGAATTCATCCTTGAATTACAGAAACAAGCTGCCAAGTGTAATTTCGGTGATCAACTTCATGTGCAACTGAGAGATCGATTAATTGCAGGAATTAACATACCGAGTTTGGAAAGAGAGCTGTTAAAAATGCCAAACTGTTCCTTTCAAGATGCTAGGACTGCGTGTATTAACTACGAAGCAGTGAATGAACTTGATATCCAGTCGATAAAGATTTCTGATACTTTGCTTAGTCGTCATGATGAACTACAATCTCAGGGTCAATCAAATTTGCGTTCATTTAACAGTGATTCCTATTCTCGTGTAAATATGAAAGGTGTTTCAACGACGAATTACAAAGCAAATCACAAAGGTGAGATGAAGTTTGGTGAATGTTTATCATGTGGAAAGTTTCATGCTCGCAATTCATGTGTATTTCGTAATGCTGAATGTTTTAAATGTGGTAAGGTAGGACACATTCAGTCAGTATGCAAAGCTATTGTCCATTTTGCTTCAAGCTGTACTAAATCTTGTAATTTAAATTTAAATAATCCGGATGTTTCTAATGATCATTTATCTTTATCAACGATTTCAAAAGACAGTGCAGAGTCATATGACAGTTCAGAGTTAGATGAAATCCAGAATTCTTGTGAGACAACAGTTCCTAATCAACCGATTTATCAGAATTCTCATGCTATTGTACCAGGTATGACTTTTCCTAATGATTCACATATTTCTAATGAAATTACTTGCAATATTGAGGAAAATATGTTAAATGAACCTAATCATGATCGGAAACCTGATGTGGTTTGGATAGATGCTGGTTTTCCTAACGATCCTACGCTCTGCAGTGACAGTCCTAATGAATTTCATGAGAATATTTCAGAAGAATCAAATCCTAATGTCGTATCATATATTACCTCTCCTCATAATGCATTTGATCCTTGTGAAAAACCTGCTCAATGCGAAGCACGAGTACTAAGTGACCTCGAGTTTGATTACATTTCAGATGATTTCATATCAACTGCTGTTTACCCTTATCACAAAAACAGTTCTAATGTTTACTCTAAACAATGTGAGAAATATGTTTTAAATGAAGCCACATTATTCATAACTTGGGGATATAAAGATCCAACACCATTTCGTGGGGGAGGATAGGATTGAAAAACCTATGGTTCAAATTCTAGATATTAATGATTTCAGTACAAAACCGATATGCTGATTGTATACAATTCCAGGTGAGTCTGTTCCGATTTCGTTTGTTAATTCCAATACTAATGAGCACTTTCTAGATACTACAAAGTTTTTATCTCACACAATGTTGGGCAGACTCAGGATGAACTTAACAAGAAGACGTACAACCGATTACAAACACTTATACTTCTATTTAAGCTGTAGCGGATGTGGTGTTTGAATGGACTAATGATACCATTGTACTGGTTGAATGCTTGATTTTGATTTCTAAATACAATACATTCGTTGGTGCCTGTGTCTTCTTAATTCAATAGCGTTAATTCTGGAATTCCTAATTCATACGACAATTAGAATACTATAACAGTGCTCGGTAAGTTTGTTGTGTGAAGAGTCTTTTTAACGAGGACTCCAAAATCAACTAGACCAGAATTCATAGATGAAGTGTATTGAAGATGTATTTAAAAAGTGATCAAATTGTTTATGTGTATGTAACCCAAACTGGCTAGTTGTTGTGAACGATTCACTGTGCGCGCATAGGATCGTGATCTGATGCATTCAGCTGGAGGTGTGTACAGCAACTCTATTACCATCATTATTCACGAACAGCTTATTGGTGCATAAATGTTGTGAAGAAACCATATCAAGTTTCTTCAGAATTGCAGTGATACACATTTTTCAATAAGGTGAACATAATATCTACCATATTTAAACAGGTTCTGTGGAGCAGATGTCATTACCAAGGTTTGATCTGATAATTTCAAATAAATTGAGCGTTGGGTAGATTGTTATGAATAAATTAAAATTTGGTTATTTATTCTCTGAAGAAGTGGCTTACACTAAGTCACGAAACATCAGAATATCTCATTTTTCTACTCATTGTGATATTACAAATGTATTATTTGCTTATAGGTTCTGTGGAGTTGAGAAGAAAATTGAGTTGACTTTAAAGAAGGAAAAGGAAAAGATAGGAGAAATGAAGGCAAAAAACGTGAAATACGCGTATAACTTCATAAAAGTGTTTGTAAAAACAGAATAAGGATAAACAATGATGTGTGAACTGCTAAATTAATAAAAAAGAAGAAATAAATAAACAGGAAAACGAATCATTACTGTAGTAAATTTTTTGTTTGTATGTGTCATATATGCATGATGAAGATAAAATGAATCTGGAAAGCTAATTTATTTAGGTGTAACACAAGGTAATATGTTTTTAGTCATAAACTTAGGATGTTTATGAAAAAAATTTGTTTAGGAGGACAAGGGGGAGTGGGAAGAAAAGGAAGGGAGGAAAAGAATATTTATTGTGTTAGAGGATCAATCATGATAATAATAACAACAGTAATCGTAAATATGAACATTAGCAGACTTTGAATATTTAGATAAAAAGAAAGAATACAATGGAGTAAAAGAGCAGATTTTCGAAGAGTCCACTTGTTTTGTGGCTAATTAGATAGATATTGGACCTTGTTTGCAGAAGTAATCAGTAGTCACACCAGTATTTACTAGATGACACCACTGTCGGAAAAAAGTCATCTGAGAGATATCTGAACAGGAATATAGTCTCACCGCAACGGAGTCTTTTCCCAATGGTTGAATAGTGAATAATTGAGAATTTCTGGTGTAAGTTCGTGTAGGTTCTCAGAATCGGCACAGCATTTTTTAATGAGTATGTTATGGGATGGTACGACGGAGTATGAGCAGTTGGACGCCAAAGGGTGAGAAATATAACATAAAGGCCGGCAGATAAAGAAAAGGTTTGATTTAATGTACCTTATCCATAGAAGTTCTAACCTGAGTTGTTGACATTTTTGTTGGTAATCCTTGTCGTCGTAATGCCCCAAAACAGCCTCAGTGAATCGTGTTCTTAAAAGAATATGCAATTACTTTCATTTAATATCTGCATCAAATACCATACCCAAACAAATTTCTTGAAATCTTCAGTTGACATATCCCTATAGACTCCTAGCAGATGGTTACGTTAATCCTTTCGTACCTCTGTAGATCATCAACATGGGGATCAGTGCCGAAGATTGAGTGACTACTTGATTTGGACGGGAATGGTGTGACCTTCTGACCTATATCCAAGACACACCTCACGTTCAATATATGACGTGGGTTACTTTTACATCATATCCAGATTCTTTGGCTACCTCCATAACCACAAAGCACAAAAACCATAATTACATAAATATCTTACCAAGATTAAGCACAAGGATCAGGGTGCGACCACTGCAACAATAATCAGTCCATGCATTGAAAATGGTTGATGAGCCTTAGTGTTACCAGTGCAAGGTTTGCTCGGAAGGTATTTTTGTCACAGTTAACATAAGACTTTAGATCGTGGGGCACCAGGACTCCTAAATATTTTTCGACTTGAAATACTACTAGAGAGGAGTTTCCTAAGTTGTAACTGTAGTCTGAGACATGTCGCAGATGGACAGCTTTACACTTTGAAGTGTTAAAGGCAAGTCCGTTATCGTCTGCCAAACTTTAAAGTCGGGTCAGATCCTCGTGAAGTGCCTGTATATCACCTTGGTTGCGTATCTCTCTCCAAAGTTTCACGTCGTCGGCAAAAGGTAATAAGTCTGACGTTACCTGTTTAGGAAGATCATTTATGTAGATCAAGAAGAGAAGAGGTCCTTGTACTGAGCCCCGGGGGAACCCACTAGGACACTCCATAGCCTGAGATAAAGTGAAATTAACCCTGACCTTAAAATGTCGATTTTTCAGGTATGAAGTGAGCCAACCGATTAGAGGTGGTCTGATACCCAATCGTTTGAGCTTATTGATAAGATATGTGTGGTCAACCCTATCAAAAGCTTTTGAGAAATCTAGGTAGATGATATCAATCTTCCCCTTGCGATCGAGGATGCTTGTCCATCTGTCCGCCGCAGTCAGCAGGTCGGCTGTACAAGAGTAACCCTTCCTGAAACCATGCTGTAGTGTGAGAAGAAATTTAAGGACAGTAAATAGTCATTTATACCATCGCATATCAGAGGCTCCATGATTTTTGAAGGTATTGAGAGAAGAGTCACATGTCGGTAACTTGAAGGTCCACTGTGTCGACCTCCTTTGAAAATGGGTGTGATGTGAGCCAGCTTCCAAGTTTCCGGCAGTTTTCCTCGGCTTAGCGAGTGTGAGAACATAACGCTAAGCGGCGTTGCCAGGATTGAGGCTGCCTCTCTCAGTATGGCAGAATGAACTATATCCGGGCCAGGAGAAGTGTCTATTCCTAAGTGCTGCAGTTTCCGGAACACCAAGTCAGCGCTCAGGTTCACTTCGGAAAGTCCTTTGGAGTTGCAGATGAAGCTGTCATCAGTATAGCTGACAAGGGTCGGTTGAAATGTCCGGGAGTATTCTTCAACCAAAAGGTTAGCGGCGTCGCCGTCGTTGTTTATCAGGCCGTTAAGACTTAGCAGTTGGGAAACTCCAGTTGTAGCTTGACGAATTAATGTGACCAAGTGACGTGAAAATATGACTGGTAGTAACCAAAGAATTTAGAAACACTTCCTTGTATTAATAAGTGAACTCTACGAAATTAACTGCTTTGCACTAGCTTGTTACTAAGATATTGCATATTGGCTTAAAAGAAAGCGGTTGATGTGTCTTTCCAAGGCCCCCGCAAAGTTCAACTCTATGAGATGCAAGTTGGGACTGCAACGTCGGTTCTAAATCCTACTTCGGAATATTTGAATAGTCAAGGGACATGGGTCACGTATATTTTGGTGATTCTGGTAGTGCACTTCATTTTACTATGCATCCCACTCTTCACTACCGCTGTTGTTTGGACGTTGACCTGTACTTTTCACAATGTTGTATGTTCTTATCATTTGTAATTACCTACTGTCTAGAGTTACTTTATGCGCTGTGACTTTTATTTATGATCTCATACACGACTAAGAGTTTTTTATCATTATCATAAAACAATTTGAGGCATAATGGGTCGAATATTAACTAACTATTTCTAATGTGTTATTATTCAGTATTAGTCTTAAATCATGAAAGCTTTTATGGTACTTCGCCGTGCGTCGTATATAATTGCACACTCATTTATACTCCATTCATGGACAATAATTGTATTTATCGAACCCTTTAACTTGTAGATTCTTTATAGTTCATTTGAAATTACTGACTATACTTCTTGTTGAAATATATATCACTCCAGTATTTTACAGTCCTGGTTGCTTAGTGTGAGACCCAAGCACTAGTATTTCTAGTACTGTGATAAAATTACGTCTATCTATGTTTTTTTCTCGAAATCCACTGAAGTATTGTTTCGTTTACACATCCTCGCAATACCCTTAAAATCTCGTAGTTATCGCTCACTATTGGCACCAAAGTAATCACTACAACTACCGAGTGTGCATCTCTACGTTACTATTTTGTGAATACAATTTTTGTACCTTAAGATGATAATGTACTTGATCACAGTTCAGATTTACGTAATTGGCTTCAAGTCTCATATACATTTTAGCTAGTGATACTTCTGGGCTACGCAAAACACAGTAGTGAACAGAAAGCCCAAACTTACGATTTATTCGTTGAAAGCTGAGTGATTTGATCAAGCTATGGTTCCTCAAGACCGTTTTATTTCACTGAGTCCACCTTAAAATCCATACTATCCGGTGGCTTAACAGATGGATCTGGATTATTATAACCCGATTTCATCGGTAAAGTCCAATTTTATGTAAGGATGGGCCTCCTTAAAACCTTCCTTTCTAAATATCTCATTTCAACAGTTACAAGACAAGATTGTTGAGTATTTTTGTCATCTTTAAAAAGCACTTTACTATTGTCCAAGTTCCTGTGCAACTGTGGTAATTAAAGCTTTTGATTCTTTACATACTTTAACTGCTCATAACCTTATCATTTTCCAACTGGCTTTTTCGATGTGACTTACAACAACAGAAAAACAGAGTCAAAATAACATTCTCTTAAATACCAAATCCTAAACTACTTCAGTTTGTCTGAAGTTCCTTTCGCAATATTCCTCCTGCCAACAGTGGGAGATTTATGTACGACAAAATATGTCCGTAGAATTTCCGTTTCTCAATGCCTTTTACATTGAGAAATAGTCGCCTTTCTTTATTCATTAAAAACTTGCATTTTATAATGGATTCCCCACTACCTACGTATCTTAATAACTAGTGATGGGAATCTCACTAAAACCTTTCAAACTGCTCTGAAGTAGTTAAGAACCTTTGGTTAAAAACCACAAGATGTTCAAACGGACACTGACTACAGAACTTTTATGCTTTGTACGTAGTTATTTCCCTTCAATATTTTGCATATCTTACCTAGCTCTTACCCGTTAAATGAAGAAATCCATTTTCGGGGGGATTCTTACATACAACTTAAGAAGAAGAATATCAATATTGATTTAAGATGAACTTTTGTCACACTAATTTTTCTCATTGTGAATTGTGCTTATGGGTACTCAGTGCATTTCCCCTCATGACTTTTGTTCGTTGACAATTACACAAATCATGAGCTATGATCATTGTGATCAGTATATAACCAATTATCTTAAACATATTTTGAGTTCTACTAGGTTCAGATCAATAAACTTTTTGTACAACAACTGGAATTCTCACTGTAACTAACATGGTAGTGAAGAAAAGGATAACAGTAGTCTTGTTCACCCTATTAGAGTTGGAATTGCGAAGTAGTAGCTTAACACAGAAATATCCGTCTAGGTCACCAATAAACATTTGGGACCTATTATTCAGACATGACCATCTAACATATCTTAATCACCAAGTAGTGGACACGGAGGGTCCGCCTAGGGGAGTTGGAGAACCCTGATTCCAAACCAATGGTGCACATGGGCTCCGGGATCCTGAAAGAACAAATGGCATACGAACTAATTATTGGTCACCGGATATCATGGGACTGCATCTCCTTACGTTGCTCGACTGTCTTGTGAACCAAACCTTTAGGTCGAAAGCTCCGGGTGTGGCCTCCTAAGAAAATCACTTGCTTCGGTCTGGGCACCCGGGCAGTATCACAGCCCACTCATAAATCAAATGACTTGTGTGGCGCTTATGTATTTGGTGCCCCTTTATACCAATATTTATGTGTTCAAATAAATAAATAAAGTGACTATTCATATGTTTCAGAGGTCCGTTTCCGTAGTTTACTCAGTAAAACATTTGTTTTGTTGCCTGAAAATGTGTCATCTTAATCTCGAACTGATGTACGTACGTACGAAGTTCTACGTTGTTCCTGACTGACTGACTGACTCTTCAAGTTTTGTTTCGACACCAATCGTGATATTTGCTAGAATATTTTCAAATTATATCTGAGTCAATGTTATTCCAATCTTGCACTATCCTATAAATATATTTACTTCATATCACTTTATTGTCAGGTTATGTATCGTTTGTTACACTGGGAGAAAGGAAGCCCGTATGAAACATTAGATCAAGGAGAATCTCGTGTTCTCACTCAATGGGAGCAGTTTGATGATGGTGAACAATTTTCACCGACAAAGAAATTCCTCTTAGTTGTCCCGATTGTTTTGTAAGTCCCAGTTACAACGTCCCCATGTAATTCTGCTTATTTCTTCATACCAATAGTAGTTGAGACCTTTTTTGTTGTCGATAAATTTCACTTTAAATTTTGTTAAAGCAGAGGCGACAAAATGTTAGTTTATTACACACAACATAGCAGCTGACACGGATTTGTATTGGTTCAATTTAACACATCACGCGTAGAGATTGATAAAATGAAAAACAGTGGTGAGAACAACACTATGCTATTGGACTGTTACATAGATGGAGTGAATAGACGCAACATGATATCACTCAGATTCCTGCAAACTGATTTCTACCAGTCGTAAAATTATAGGCCAAGTGCACATCGTGATATTCACAACTTATACATAGTCATTACCCAGTTCTTTTATTCCTTTTCATATTTATTATCAAGGTTCATTTGTAAACGTAGACAACAAAATTTATTTGTGGTCACTTATTTTTATCTTGAATGGTAATTTGTTTTATACTGTGACTTTGTATTTAAAGCACTTAACTCTTAACCACTAAATTACGCCTGTTACTTCTTGTAGAGGAAAATGAGCCGCCCACCAGCATTATCCATCGAATTCATTCATGGGCAATCCTTTATAGTTGCTCTTCATCCTTTTCATGTCTGCTTCCGATTCCCGACATAGTGTGTTCTTAGATCTTCCTCTTTTCCGTCTCCCTTCAGGATCCCAAGTTGTACTTGCCGCGTGATTCAGTCTGATGATTTCCTCGATGTATGTCCTATCCACTTCCAACGTCTTCTTTTAATTCCCTCCTCAACTGGAAGTTGATTTGTTCTCTCTCACAGTAGGCTGTTACTGATGGTATCCGGCCAACGGATACTAAATATCTTGTGTAGACAATTGTTTTTAAATACTTGTACATTTTCGATGATGGTTGTGATAGTTTTCCAAGTTTCAGCTCCATACACTAGAACTGTCTTCACGTTCATATTAAAGATTCTGATTTTGATATTGGTTGACAAACAGTTGTTTCGAGTTCCATATGTTCTTCAACTGTAGAAATGCTGCCCTAACTTTGCCAACCCTTACGTTTGCGTCTGCATAGATGATGCTAACCAGGTATGTGAAAGTTCCACCAAGTGTGATTGGGTTGGTATTCTCCGTGTTGTATTTAAGGATTCTGCTTTCTCTTTTGTGTATGTTGAGGCCTACTGCTGAAGAGGTAGAGGTCTCTGCTACACTGGTTGTCATGACCTGCATTCGTTGATTTCATCTGCGAAGTCCAAATCGTCTAGTTTCATTCAAGTTATCCATTGTGTTCAGTGCTTTCCCTCAAATGTCGAGGTCTTCATAATCCAGTTGACCATCAGAAGAAAGAAGAAGGAGGAGAGTATGCAGCCTTGTCTGACTCCGCTCCTCATTTGGGATGCATCTGTCAGCTGTCCTCCGTGCACCACTTTGCAGTGTAGTCCGTTGTATGAATCATAGATGATGCTGACGATCTTCTCAGTAACCTCACAGTGTCGAAGAAAGCTCTATAAGGTCCTCATATCCACATTGTCAAACACCTCATAGTCAATGAAGTTTATGTATAATGACGAATTCCATTCAATTGATTGCACATAGGTTTCCAAATCTCTCACCATTTTTGTTTCTTTCTCCTAGTCCACGTCATCCCATGACGTCTTCATATCCTGTGTTGTCCATTCCAGCCTTGGCATTTAGGTCTCCCATCAGAATGGTCAAGTCCTTTGTTGGACACTTCTCGACGATTGACTGCAGCCTATTGTAGAATTGATCCTTAACGTCTTCATTGTAGTCGTTGGTAGGCGCATGGCATTGGATGACGTTCATTGTAATACCCTCTTTCTTTGTTTTGAAGGAGGCTTTGATGATCCTTAGTCCATGAGATTCCCATCCTATAAGTGCATGTTCTGCTTGTTTGGATAGCATATATGCAACTCCTTGTGTATGTGGGACATTTTCTTCTTCATGGCCGGAGGAAAATAGAAGTTTCCCTGAAGCTAGTCGTTGTAGTCCAACTTGCGCCCAATATGTTTCACTGATTCCAAGCACCTCCAGGTTGTACCTCTTCATTTCTGCAGCGATTTGGAAGACTCTCTCGGTCTCTCACATTGTACGCGTATTCTATGTACCTAAATAAATGGTTGCTCTGGTTGTCAGAAGAGGCATCAGCCTCGTGACTTCCGAAGGAACTCGACTTTCACTATGAGGCTTCATAACTCTTCTAAATGAAGACCTTCTAACTCCCGGGACAGAGTTTAAATGGTTTGAATTATTTTTTCTGGTTAGCGTTTCTTTATCGAGTTAGTTTTTTACGGGGTGGGGTCGCTAACCCCATGTCCAACCCTCCTTTATCCGGGCTTGGGACCGGCAGTAGCCCAAGAAGGGCTCCAAACGGAGTTACGTTGCGGAGTAACGTAAGAAAATTAATTTCACTGGTTGTTTTTGTCATCAAATATTATTGCAGCTCAATATTTAGCTTCAAAAAGTTTGTTTTAAAAAATGGAAATCAGTGATCCTGTTCGAAATCATGCATCATATCATAAGTCTTACTTAGCTTGTGCGTAAAGCAAGTGACTTATTGGTTGGAGCACTCGACGTTCAGGAATGTCATAACAGACAAAGCACTACTGTGCCTACTTCACTCTGGACTGCTAGATAGTGTAACCCAATGCTAAACACACGAATTTGTAACTGGATACTGAGCTACGTTAAATTTATGCTACATAAATTCTTAGCCATAATTTAACTTCTGAAGATGTCAGCCGGTTATACAAGCCTGATCTAAGTAAAACAAATCAAGAGGATAGATTTTAGACATTTGTATGTTCAGTAGGAGTTATCATGAAATGTTGATCGTCCTTCTCTTAATTAGTCGGTAATTGTGAACGAATCTGAAGTGTACGACAGGTTGTGCCTACAAATTTGCTTAGAAACTATTATGTTCCGACTGTTATTAGGATAACATTCGTAGACAATAATCAGGCCATTGAAGTCAGTCTTTTAAAATAGTGACGCTAGTTAAATTGTCAACATCCCTGAATACACGTAGCGGACCGGGGTATTACTGACATAGTATACCATGGATACTGGCAATCCTTCGAAGATGACGATCACCGGGCACAGTGAGTCACAGAATATCTCGGCCCTGGAGAGAAAATCATGATAACAAGGAGGAGAAGAGGACTTGCTCCATTATCACATATGTAAATACAGATTTAAAAATAAAATCGTAAATAAAGATTACCATTAATTCACACGATCTGTTTAACCTGCATATAGGTCCGTAAAAGAGAAAAAATCTATGCAGGTTATTGGAATATCTTTTATTTAGTTGAAGCAAGTGAGAGAAAGAGATTATAAAACAACTTAAGTAATTTCCAAGAAGCAAAATAAACACCTTCTTAACAAACTTTTTTTTAACAAGTACATACAAATGCATTACTGATAAAATTCGTTTGCATTAAATATCCAACTTTTAATATGTTTTATGTGCACCGTTTATATATGTATGTAAAGTTTTAATGCCTTCATGTAAATAATTAATAAATGACATTTTCTCAGTCACTTAAACATTATCCCTTCATATGATGGTGGTAGAAGGTAGTCGACAGGAAACCCTGGACCTGGGTTTCATGCCAACTGACACTCGTCAACAAGGTGTGCCTGTAATCTTGAGGGAACTGATGCCTCCTGACGGATTCGATCCCGTGTCACCCAGCTTCACAGTCAGAGACGTTACCACTGGGTTATCTGGGCCGCGACTGACCTGTAGGACTGAGATGTATGTACAACTGATTGATCACTGGCTGGTGATCAATGTCATGTTTGTCAGGTGAAAAATCAACTATTTCAAAGTAGGCATTGTCTTTCAAACCAACTTTTTTAACTGTTTAGAACTTGGTTTACGTACAACTATCTGAATATGGGCTTTACTTATAGATTGCTATCAATCCAGACTATCCAGTAGCTACATTTTAGACAAATGAGAACTTCGAGTTTTTTTCCAGTGTTTGTTTTTAACGCGAATAGCACATTAATCGAAAATGATCAAAGTCATCTCAAAAAGAACATTCACGCCTACACCAAACAGTTATTACACAAAATATAAAATACGAGTGACACAGTTACACTTATATAAGATAGAGAGATAATATCTTATCGATTGCTAGTCCATACAATAAAAAAAATCGTAAGCAACAAATTTCAATCAAATAAGGTCAGTGGTGACTGTGTTAACACAATTATCTGGGTGATTTGACTATGAAACTTATCTAACAAATACACTTAAGCACCTTCAATACTCCCTCTTAATTCATTGATTTACTATACTTACTAACCAGTAGGACAGTAGTGGTGTTCATTCACTCACATTTTATTCTCAAGAGGTCATTTTTGTAAAAATACTATAATGTATATCCAGACTACTTTTTGTATTTGTCTGTTATTATTATGTATTGTAAAGGTTAAACTGCTCACTATTTTGACAATGTTATTTTGTGAGGTGAACAACACATTAAAACTATGCTTTAATAGAAGATTAAATCTCTTTTTAAAAGAAAACGTATAAAGACCAATAAATGACATTTGTTTGTTCTATAAATCATCATCGTCAATGGAAAATTCTAAAACAGCAAGGTTCTTTTTTAGCATAAAAATAACTCATTTCACAGATATAACCTGGCTGGCCGCCTGTCTAAACTATATACTTATGATCGAATAGTTCAACTTTCAACCAATTTGCCTGCACGTCCAACTCTTTCAGTCAGTCAATCGTTATAGCTGACTGACTCTCCCCCTCTACCTGCCTACTTAAATTGAAACAAGCTGGTAGATATTATTAACAGTCTTTATGTGTGCACATGTGAAAAGTGTGCTTTAAAATTGAACTACACTAATTCTTGTATGTGGATCGCACATTAAATGGTAATCGCTATCAGAATGTGTCTGAATTTTATCGGTCAAACACATAGCTCAGTTTTATGTATAAACGTTTTTTTTTTAAGTGACCCTCTCAGTTGCTTTTAAGTCTTTGCTTTTTTTGCAATTCTTATTTTTAGATTCTTACTTGCAAGTTTCTACACAGAATACGATCCTCTTCATTGTTTTATCAACGCATCGTCAATGATTGTTCTAGCCGTACTTCCTAAGTTGCCTCAGTTTTATAGGGTTCGTTTTTTTGGTATCAATCGTTGGTAGTCCCATTTTTTCTTATGTTCACATCCTTATATTAATAAAAACAATAATAGTAACAATTAAATTACATTCGATGTTTTGTTTCCTCCTCTGTATTCGGTTTATTGTATTACAGTTGGAAGAGAGAAAAAAGGACATTTCACCCCTTCCACTTCGAAAAGTGCACAGATATCAGATAGTAATTGTCGACTTCTCTTTTTTTACTTTGTGATATTGTGTTCAACCCCTCCTACATACACTTATGTGATATCTTACCAAAAAATTGTTCTTTAGATATGTACGCTGGGTATGTGTTTTTCTACTTTTAAAAAGTTTTTTTACTACCGTTTTTCAAGTTTCTAATTAATATTTGTACCTTTATATTAAGCTGTTGATGTGTTTTTTCCTTTCTATCTCTGTATCAAATTCACTTCTAATTGGAATATAATTATCGTTAGTGTTATAATCTCTTTCTTACGGTATGGCCCAGCTATTCCTATTGCTTGATATTCTTGGACACCAAATCACTCGACGAGTCCCCAAATCAGAACACGGTTGAACAGGAAAGAGATTATATTCCAAATAACAAGGTTAGATGGAAGTAAGAAGCACAATAGGGAAAACGTTAGTATATTTATAGTTTTTACATGAGAAGATTCTAGAGTATTCTCCAACTGTCGACTAGCGCTGATTGGATAAGAATTAGCCAATCAGCTTGCACCAAAGCAATTGTACATTGAGCATGCTTTAATCCAGTCTATGTCCCGCTAACAGTTAGTAAAATAGCTTCATGATATATAATCAGTGACGGTTAACCTTAGGAAAGAGTCAATATATAACTCCATAAATAAATTCATCGGTGAAAAGTAGTATCTTAACTTCTAGATGTTGTAAATTGTGTCCATCCATCGAGTTATTGACTAGTTAATGTTAAGTACTCCCCATCTCAATGTATTGAACTTTTCAGATAATTAAAATAACCGATAGTGTCATTTGAATAATAAAAAGAATTCAGCGAAGAAAATTTTGTCGGTGAAATCATTTACTTAAGCTGTACATTCGTATATATACTTATATGGAAAATATATATCTATAGGAGGATAGAAAAGATTGCATCACAAAAACGGATTCGAGAATAAATAATAAATGAGGTTGCGTAGTAATCAAGGGGTAAGGATGGAAATAATTTATGGATCAGATAATAGTCCAATTGACAGATATGAAAAAAAGCGACAGCCACAAAGGTCATAATAATAGACTGAACAATCAACAAAACTTGCATAAGGTAATAATAACAATAACTGAAAATGCAAAACAGTAATTTAAAAAATTCGATAATAATCAAATAAAAGGGCAGAAGAAAAAACAGGAACATATCCATTAAGGGAATTAAGGTCAAGGAAGGGTGAAAGGTTGGGCAAATCATTTCTGCACGCAAGGTTCAGGCTTTAGTTCGTGAATTGCCAATGCCTCAGCAGTGCATAGAGTATTGATTCAATCCAGTTCCTTTAACTCTGTAGATTACTTTAAGAGAAGAGTCCTTTGGAGCGATGTGTCTGTTATAACGTGAAAAACTGCTGCTGAATAGAGGGGTAGCGAATTATTGATCGGACCAAAGACGCGCAAACACGTAGAACGACCTAGGGTTCTGATTGGCCCCGCTTCCCTGTCTAGCCCAGCCAGTTAAGTCCAGAACGCAAGTCTCAGCCTCGGATATATGAATCATTATATTTCAAACATACTTTGTTTATATACCAGTCAAGCAGACCACAACGTACCATAAAATAGAAAATAACATTGTACAATAATGGCCAACAGGAAAATAACACATTAAATAAATATTGACCAATAAGATGATACCATTTCATGTCCAAGGATAGCATTAGGCTTAACAGGATGATTTTGGGGATATTTTCCTGAATATCCCAACAGTGTCCACAGCTAATTAAATGCTGCTGTATCGAACTAGTTTGAATAATTTTTCTGGTTAGTGTTCTTCAGCAAGTTAGTTTTCTACGGGAAGGGGTCGCTAACCCCATGCCCAACCGTCCTCCTTTATCCGGGCTTGGGACCGGCAGTAGCCCACGGAGGGACTCCACATTCTCTTCAATAATATTTGGGATGAGGAACAAGTACCAAAAGACTGGAAAGAAGAAAACCTGATCAAGATATCAAAGAAAGGCGATCTCAGAAAGTGTGAGAACTACAGAGGCATCAATCTTCTCTCAATACCAGAAAAAATCCTCAACAGGGTGTTGTTAAACAGAGTGAAGGACTCCCTAGACACCCAACTTCGAGACCAACAGGATGGATTCCGTAAGGATAGATCGTGTACAGACCAAAATGCAACACTACGGACCATTATGGAACGATCAATTGAATAGGATTCATCACTCTACATCGACTTCATTGACTACGAGAAGGCATTTGACAGCGTGGAAAGGACAACAGTACGAAGGCTTCTTCGAGATTACGGCGTGCCTCAGAAGATAGTCAATATCATACAGAATTCCTATGGTGGATTAAACTGCAAAGCCGTCCATGGAGGACAGCTCATTGACTCGTTTGAAGTAAAGACCGGTGTTAGACAGGGTTGCTAACTCTCACCCTTTCTCTTTCTCCTGGTGATCGACTGGATCATGAAGACGTCAACATCTGAAGGGAAACACGGGATATAGTGGACATCTAGGATGCAATTGGACGATCTAGACTTCGCAGATGATCTGGCTCTTCTATCTCAAACGCAACGACGAATGCAGGAGAAGACGAACAGTGTAGCAGCAGCCTCAGCATCAGTAGGTCTCAATATACACAAAGGGAAAAGCAAGATTCTCCGATACAACACAGCATGCACCGATCCAATCAAAATTGACGGAGACGATTTGGAAGATGTAAAAACCTTTACATATTTGGGCAGCATCATTGATGAACATGGTGGATCTGATGCAGATGTGAAGGCGCGGATCGGCAAAGCAAGAGCAGCATATTTACAACTGAAAAACATCTGGAACTCAAAGCAACTGTCAACCAACACCAAGATCAGGATTTTCAATACAAATGTCAAGACAGTTCTACTGTATGGGGCAGAAACTTGGAGAACTAGGAAAGCCATCATCTAGAAGATACAGGTGTTTATTAACAGTTGTCTACGCAAAATACTTCGGATCCGTTGGTCGGACACTATTAGCAATAACCAACTGTGGGAGAGAACAAACCAGATCCCAGCGGAGGAAGAAACTAGTAAGAAGCGCTGGAAGTGGATAGGACACAGATTAAGGAAAGCACCTAGGTGCGTCACAAGCCAGGCCCTCACATGGAATCCTCAAGGCCAATAGAAAAGTGGAAGGCCAAAGAACACATTACGTCGAGAAATGGAAACAGACATGAAAAGAACGAACAAAAATTGAATAGAGCTAGAAAGGAAGGCCCAGGGCAGAGTGGGTTGGAGAATGTTGGTCGGCGGCCTATGCTCCATTGGGAGTAACAGGCGTAAGTAGTTAAGTAATTGTTTCTGTTATAACTTTAAGTCCGGCTTTTTATCACGTGATTTATCCACCAATCAAAATACGACCTATACAACCTTAGCACTGTGCTAAACCACTGACGTTCTACCGGTATGAGCAGCCTAGCTTCTTATTTCGTCTTATGTCTGCCTAGCTCGTGCACCTGAGTTCAGAACACTAAATGCCAGCTTCCAATACGCGAATCGAATCATTTATTTCAGACATACTGGGTTTATATATCAAACAAACAGACCGCGAAGCACCATAAAACAGAAAATCATATTTGTACACAATAAGGCCGAAAAATAGCTGTGAATGTGGGAGGCGGTGGTTAGTAAACTGAAAATAGCTTAAGAACCGTAAATCGTACAATACTAAAATATAAGTGAAAATAAACTTATAATAAGAGGAATATAAATATACATAATCTATTTATTGAATACCATATGAATGTATAGATAATATTAGTCAATTGCAAATTCATCTGTTTGTCTTTAGAAAACATCATTAAATCTAAATTGCACGTTGAGCGTACATCTTAGAAGTAGTTCTTTAAGACAATGTTTTGGTCACCGGCTGGATTAGTTGAGCAATTAGTGTGGGTACACAATAAAAACTTCATCTCCATTCTAGCTTTCTTCTCTTGCGCTGAACTGTATCAGTCTTTGTTCCATTGTAACAGGTAGTTGCTTTTCCACGGTTATAACAAGTAGACATATCAACGTTTTGTCTATTTACTTCGACCTATTTCAATTATAAATCAAGTCCTTATTTTCCTTACTGATGACTGTTACTAATTAACGCTCTTTAAGCAACATAAAACACCTAGGTACTTTTACGAAAGAAAAAAGACAAATGAAAGGTATTACTTTTGTGATGATTCAAACATGCAAGGAAATACTTCTCTGTGTTCTTGTTAGCGTTTATTAAAGTTGGATTGTAAACTAGCGTATATGTTGTAATTACAGTGGTACATAATATCATAGCGTTCAGTGCATCCTGGTTTCCATTGTTTGTTTAGCGAAAACCAGCCTTTGACGTTAAATATAAGATTCGAAAATCTTCACAGACCTATAGTAGCAGTTCGGGGTCATGTACGCACAAGTTACTGAATCGTGTATCTGATATGACGTGATCTGGCTCCTGTATTATGTAATGTACCGTCCAAGTATTCAATCTAACCTACACCACAGAGAAAGAAAATTTCAAACCATCCGTCATATCACTTAACTAAGACCATTTGATTGCTTTGCAGGTGAATCAATCCTGGATGAGTCACATGTGATAATTACACATATCAATACATATTCATCTGGTAACTTGAACAATAAAAAGCAGACTAATGATTCTTTGGTACTTGATGACAGCCTGATTTTGAATTCTAACTACAATACGTCCGTTTGTGCTCACCTAGTTCGATTTAGTTTAAATTGCGCTGTTTCAAAGATTCTTAGTTTGTATAATAATCCAAATACTTTTAATTATCACAAAACCTCAAAATAGGGTATGTAATACTGAAGGTGACATGTACTATTAACAATGCCAATAACTCTTGAACAAGTGTAGTATTTGCTTGAATGTCAGGAAGAACAGTGTAAACAGTTCCAAGTTCGTATCCTGGACATCTAAACGCAACAACCGAACATTAATAACAGAGGGACTACTGATGATTCGCGTAATACACATGCCGATTCTATCATTAATTATTTTAATGAATTTCATTTGGATGGTTTTGTTGGCAATAAATTCAAATCCTGATTCAAGAAACATGAGGGTTTGGTCAGGGTTGACCTCAATAATCTTGATGATACCATCAAAGTCAGAATGCTCCTAATAAAACTTGGCGCGGTTGGATACGAATGTTACAGTAATTTCACTTATTCAAAGAACCTACGAGATCTTTCTTTCAATGAAACAATTGGCATCCTGTCGCAAATATTTGCTGAACAGTTACCTTCGT